AAAAAAAAAAAAAAAAAAAAAAAAAAATTAAGGCACCGTTATTATAGCCGGTTAAATATTACAAGCAAACTTTGTTTAAAGCTATTAAATCTCTGAGTAGGCATGAAATATATCCCAAATATTTATAAAGTGTCTTATATCTAAGTCTATTATTTTTTAACAGTAGTTGAAATTATCTCAAGACGTAAATGCCTCTTAATAGGTTACTAGATAAACTGGCGTCGTCGCGTACCAGGCTGAAGTTCATCTCCAGTATATAATTAATTTCATATTAATTCAACTACAACGAACGTATTTTTCTTTGTATCGACAATTTTTGTATTTATTTTTTGTTTTTATATTGTCATATTAGTAGATCTGTTAAGGAGAATAATCGTGCACTTTTGCAGGAAAGCATGAAACTTCCCACAGTGGTACTATGACACCTAAGGATCATTAAAAAAAATAGACCACAAAAAAATAACGTCCCCTAGTGGTCGCCATCTTGAAATTCACAATAGCCTCCAAAATATTTGATTTTTATCAATATCTTTGTTTATCCCCATTACTTTCGATTGATTACCAATATTTTAATTCCTTAATAACTATTTTCCATTGATTTATATATATTTTCATTTCTTTCATACACTTGATATTTTTTACCTTTTCGTTTATCATATTTAACCTATGCTGTATTGTATTCCTATGTACAACTTTTTAATGTTTGTTTATTTATTCATTTATTCTAAATAAATTAATCAAATCAAATAAAACATTTTCACTATTTTATACATTTTCTAATATTTTTTGTTATTTTCCTTTTTTCTTTTTTCTTTTCGTTCATTTCTTTTCCTTTTCCTTTCTTTCATTTTCTTTTTGGCTTCACTTTTTTATTTTCTTTCCCTTATTATCCTTTCTTTTCTATTCTTTTATTTTTTTTCTTTCTTATCTTTTCACATTTACTTTTACTCCTTTCCTTTCTGTATTTTTTCCTTTGCAATTCAATATGGTGACTTTCTGATATAATTTATGATGGCTGCATAATACTTCTAGACATCGAAAACATGCATGGGTAACGGTCTTTGAGTGACAGTACTAGGTACCGTACTGTAGATATAAATATATTGACAAAAATATCTAGAATTTGGTGGCCATCTTGAAATCCAATATGGCGGCCATTGAACTTATTTTCTGATGATTGCATGGCACTCCCTGATATTGAAAAGATGGGTAAAGATCTTCAATTGGCAGTGATGTGTGCTGTAACTATTTATATATATTATAAATTTATTAATTTTGGCGGCCATATTGGATTTCAAGATAGCCGCCACTCAGAGGCATTATTTGTTGGGGTCTATTTTTTTAATGATCCTTATGTATCATAGTATCACTGTGGAAAGTTTCATGCTTTCCTACAAAAGTGTAAGATTCTACCTAATATTCAACCTTAGCCGCTCTACTATCACTGAAAGCTTTTGTGTTTAAGATATTCTCTATATTAACATTTCTCGTCTTACATTTTACAAAGCAACAGACGAGTGAATAGCGGGTCCTTCGTCAATTTTTAAAAATTATATTTATAACAATTCTATTTAATCGCTGCACATAACCTAAAGAGTTAAATCAATTATAAATTTGAATTTCAAATTATTCAATAAAATCTGTTGATGGAAAAATTATACACGAACATTGATATGTACATATTTGAACTCAAAATAATTAACTCAAAGTGGGACTAGTATTATTATTGGCATATATAGCATAATTACAAACGTTAATTGTATTAAATATACATCCACATATAGAATAGATGTACTTTCGTTGGGTAAAGAAACACCACACTCTTGTCGGTTAATTATCCACTGAATTATATACATATATGCGAAATTGGATATAACGATGGTAAGCAATCGGATCAGGCTTACATTATCAATTTGCAATAGATCCGAGGAATACCAACACACTATCCATGTCAATGCTTCACATATTTTAGGAAGCGAGAATTATACGAAGATGGAATTCAATATAACTATAAGTAGGCCTATTGAAGATTTAACATATAAACGACAGCATATACGACAACGACAACTTATTTTAATTCGATTTTATATCGCAAATCGCTTTAAATTTTAAAAGTGAGAGAATAAAATGAAACACTCACGCTCAAATGTTTGTGCTTAATAACTTTTATGCTATGGACGTTGAAGATATAGAATGCGGTATATGACAAATGCTACTGACACGCTTCAAACACACTTCCAGTATTTCTCGGGTAAAATACAGTAGAACCCTCCTTTGGGACATGCCTTTTCATGGGTCGCCCTTATTCCAGTGATACTTTTCCCAAAAAAAACCCAAAGCGAGGGGAAATAAATATTTTAATACTACGGACAACCCATGTTAAGTCTGAGTGTGCCAAATTTGGTTACCTTGTCAGTACAATTACAAAAGACTTAAAATAAGGAGTCTATCTGTACTTTCGTGCTTGTAACTTGCAATTTGGCCATTGGCCACAATTTGTTACAAATGAGTCTTTCTTTTTTATTGAATAAAATTGATATAATATTTAATTAAAATATCTATTTTGACTACTTTTGAGAGATAAAATTATCATCAAACAAGAATTTCATTTTTCTTGATTTCCACAACGGACATCGGTATATGGCCTCTGTGTGTGTTAATTTTTTATGAACATTCTTGTGATTTTCACCTTTAATAATAGGAGGTATTTTTGCCAAGTATTTTTTATATGATTACAACTGTAACCTTCACACTACTCTCTAAGTCATTGCTCTATTGTCATCGCTGTAGACATACACTTATTTTTTTTATAAGAACACTGAGGCTCGAATTGCTTAAAACATAAGAACAAACTAAGAAGAAATTGAGGCTGAGGTACGTTACCTTATTTACATGTAACTGTGACTATTTAATACCTTCTAAAATATTGTCTGTAATGTGATATACAATAATAATTTTATATCTTTGAAAAGTGTGTTAAATAAAATTATACACTTTTGTTTTTTAAGCTACATTTATATTAATTTCATATCATAAATTGTTGTTTTTACAGGTTAGTTTAATTATATTGTAACTCGTTCTTTGTCAAGATTGTTTATTAATTACACATTATCTTGTTTGTAATAATTGTATAATTAGGCCTATGTCATTTCTCATCAGTTTGTATTTTACTCATACGGTATCATTTTAGAAATATTTCTACAAATCAACTTTGGCTCCAACAGATTAATTTTTCTGCTTTGTATTTTTTATATATACATTTTTGGAGAATAATGATGTCGTAATACACGCTAAATTGTTTCCTGAAGACTTTAGACCTCTGTGCTGCATTTCAAATTTAATTGCTTACCGACAAGATGAAAACGCACGGTAAGCACCTGTATAGTAGCCTATACCAAATCGTGTCCCTGAATATCATATCTAATAAACCCATTGACGTTATAGATAATTTATAGTATGAAAACGCGTCTAAGCCTATTATGGTCTAAAATGCAGCGGCAGGACTGGGTTAAAGAAGGGGAATTCCCTGTACAAAACGCCACGCGACCGGTTAATCAACACACACGACGTTACAGTTTCCGCAGAAGTTAACACCACCGAAAACAATGCATCGTTAGTAGGCCTACGATCAGACATGTCGGAATAAGCAGGAATTGTGTTATTATTCCATAGATACGAAATTGACTTGGATAAGAAAGTATAATACATACTCCAAGTATTGAAATATATACACGCCATCGTGTTGGGATTCAATATTTCGACATTAATTATGTCATCATCAGAAATGAAAAAATTATCTATATTAGCAAGCTTAAGTGTTTAACCAATCAAAACATTACCTCTAGTAGGTGACATAGCAGTGATTTAAACAAAAGATCAAAGCATTCTTACTCTAATGATCAAAGATACCTACAAAAACAAAGAAAGCTCTTTTGAAGCTCTAAGCCCATTGTTAAGCAAAGGGTGTAGTCTACGTATAGCGAACGCTTCTTTAAACAATAGGATAGACCAGTTTCGGGAACTGTCAAATGTTAGTACTAGAAAATATTAAACCTAATTTATTACTTACATTACAGACGACATTATCATTTTCAAGTATACCCTGTAATCCTAAAACATGTTGGAATGCCTCACAGTTTTTAACATGATCAAATATAACACTATCAGATCGTGAAGAATGTTCTTTAAGTCTAGTTATTAAGCACTTATCTGTCTTACCAATATAATCACTATTGCAGCCTGGACATTTAAAATGATAGACAACAGAATTTCTGTACTCCTTAGGGGTTTGATCCTTAGTAGATATAAAATGAGAAACATTTTTATACTGCCATAAATTTATGAATTTTACCTCTTTAATTAAGTGTTTCTTTACCTTATTTAAACATCTACGTAAATACACATCTAGATGTGTATAAGAGACAGGTGTTGAAGATAGCCAAACATTGTACAGTGCCTATGTATACATTTAGGTTCATTTAATTTCTTAAGTACATTATTAACAACTTTAAAAGGGTACCCATTCCAAGACATAAACTTCCTGATGTTACTAAGCTCTGTTTGAAGTTTATCAGGAGTACATAATCTGTGGGCTCTAGAAACTAAACTACGAATCCAGGAGATCTTATGGTTCCATGGAGCAAAGCTATCATAATGGACATATTGGACATATTGGACAAATTGACTTGGTGTTTATGTTTGCTAAATCTAGGCAGGATAGTAATGACAAATTAAAAAAAAAAACCGATGAGAAAAAGTAAAATAATATCAGAAATTTATACCGCACCAATTTAAAAAATAAAAAAAATTATTAAAGGCTTTTAAAAGGTCTTTTAAGTCAAAAGGAAAGAAATTCAATTTGGGAGACGCATGCTAGATTCATCTCATATGAATAGGCATAGGCCTATTATGGATCTAGTATTATGAGCACACACAACTTATGATATTCGTAATTTGTTGCATTTAAATTCGAAAATGTTACATAATATGTCAGCACTTACATGAATATGAATAATCCGTCATGGTACTTCGTGGTAGTACGAGCGCAGTGGTAAGATAATAAAACCAACGCGTGTTGTTAACGTTAAAGTTGTCGTTAATAGTTTTATGACGTAAGGTACTATTCGCTATTCCTTTTTAGAATCATTAATTTGGGTGAAGACACGTCGCGTTTGTTTGCTCGGAGAGTCGTTGTTCTCCTCCGTGTTACCTTGTTAGACTGAACATACCTTCTGTGTTTCGGTGGCGTATGTCGGAAGTAATATATATGGAGGCGGTTCGCTGAAGCAGCGAATGAGTATCGTCGGATTAGAGTTAGAACTACTGTGTACTAGACGAATAGCTTTGCTCGTTAAAACTGACTCGAGACGTGTGCATAGGTCCCAAGTGCAAGCTACAATTGCTAATTAAATTGAATAACGATTTACAAGAAAGTGAATAATGGCTTAAACGCTAGTTTCTCCTCTCCTCCACCTCTCTATAATCTCCTTTGACCTTTGTATTATAGAATTTACCGTATAGTTCGCTTGTCACTTGTGAGGTGTAAATAAATAAACATATAATGAGTCTTTATAAACCAAAATGTACGTAATTTTAATAAATGTTATCCTTTATGATAAATTATAATTTAACATAAACTTTTATCTTTTTTGTGCTCTTCATTTATTTACTTTATTTTGTGATTTTTTTCCCTTTCACCTAATTTATTCATAAATGGCTAGTATAAGCTATTAAACAGTATATGTACTAGCAAAACGAAGTCACAATCAATGTTATCAAGTAAATTGTTCTCTAATTTGTAATAATTTAGTTTAAAGACTGGTTGAAGGTGAGTATCTTAAAGCGCCGAACTATGTGAAGCTTCCAAAACAAATACAGCATAGTGTAGATCCGCTGTATACAAGGTGATTCAATTCCACTGTAAATCAATCGTCCCATTTTTATAATCATAATTCTTTTAAACGATAAATATTTTATTTTTTTCTTTTCATGCAATACAGGTCTAAGCTATTTTATTAAATTTTAGATATGCTCGATTTAAAATTGTGTTTCAGGTTTTTGTTTTATGTATATATATATATATATATAGGAAGCGCCTATATACAGTGCGAATGTGTTTGCACTCCTGTGTTGTAATTTTAAAGTTTTATGTATTCTTGCACATTTCACGTAGCCTATTTTTTGCTGAGCATATTTTACATGACGAATAATGAATAATGTCGACTTGATTTGGTTTGATTTGAAATTAAATAAATACTTCTATTTAAATATTAGACCTTTATTACTCCCTTCATCCTATTGTGGGAAGCTAATTTATGCGGATTGGTGCAGCGGGAACATCACCCAGCTCCATGCTTAGCTGTATCAGCAAATTGCTGGGTGTGTGTGTGTGGGGGGAGGTAGGCTTAATCTGCGATGGACTCGCGTCCTATCCAAATAACACATTTTTATCGGCTTCACGAGAGAAACTCAGAATAAGGTCGTGGCGGGCACTTACTACACTCGATGGTCGTCGGCGACGCGATGCTATGGACACCACGACGCGCGTGCAATGGATCATTTTTATTGACGATCTGTCCAGACTGCAACCGACAAACGGCGGTGTTGCATTTAGCCCTTACGTAAACCCACTGTGCCGAGCAGTGGATCCAGAGATGTCTGAAAGGGGGCCCCGGGCCGTAAGTAGGGACCGAAAGTGGCGCCGATCGAGATAACATTAACCTATGGGCCGGTGGCATGCCCCCGCGAAAATTGGGTATTCTAGACGGCCAAAAATAACCTCTAAGGCGCTTTGGGCGATCCACGTTTTGCTTTTTCTTTTTTTTTTTTTTTTTCTTTTTTTCTTTCTTTCTTTTCTTTTTCTTTTTTTTCTTTTTTTTTTGCTTTCGAAAAGGTGGCTCTGGTGCCAACTCTGAGCCGTCGTGCCCAAAATTATGTAGTTTCCACGCCTGCGCTAGAATTTTTGCGTCTTAAACGAGATTGTGAAAAGAAACTCAATCTATGACGAGTTCCTCTCCATGAACAGAAAGTGTACTGAATCAGGGGTTGGCGCCAGGATTTGGCCGACATGGGGTTCGACGTCCCCGACGAGGGGAGAGGGGGTGGCGATGTCCCCGACGAAAAAAATGAGAGTGGTTGGGCGTTGCTCAAAGTCGCTTGAGAGTGTTCCAGAGGTCGAAGCTCCTGAAAAATATGACAATTTAGGAGTTTCAAAGGCTTATTTAATCGATGAGTCTACTAATATATAAAAAATACATAGGGGGGTGGGGCAGCTCTCCCTGGCCCTCGAATACTGCGTGTTTTTGATAAGCAGAGCTCAGGATGGTTCACACAAGGTGACGCAATTACGTAAATAATTTTAACACTAACTGACGAAAATCTTATTTAAAATATCTTAATTAATATCTTAATTAGTTAATTAATTGATATAAACACCATGCACAGCAAAATATATTTCATTTAACATATATGTTCCACGTATGTCTTGATAATATAAAATAAGTACGATTGCCCAAAGTAGAAACGTATACTTTTTGACATTATATACAAAAAAATATTTTGATTCGAATATTTCGAGCACTCCTGTGAACAAGAGTTGCATGGTCGATGTAGTAGAGTAGGCCTAGGCTAGGGTAGCTCCATCAGGGCCCACTATTGTAGCTACAATAGGAGGCCTACTACTATTTTGGGTCTATGGTCGTGCGTAGTCGTAATCTTCTGAAACTTTTCATTATTTCTTTTAAATTTTATGTTTCCTGTTAGTATATCACGACGATATCGGTTTTCGCAAAATTTTATAGAACTCTCTAAAAGTTCGTCAAAATCGAAAACCCCCCTCGCTCTGACCATAGTACAGCACAGTGTGTACCCGTTTTAGTGATTTACTCCTAGGATTTAAGGGATTAGGAAAGGATTTAGGAATGGATTTAGGCCTACTTATTTTACAGTGTAGATTATGCTTGTATATATTTATTTGTTTAGTGCGTCAGCAGTAAAAAAAAATGAGGCCTGTAAAAATAATTTTTGAATTAATTGACAATCTTTAAGTGTTGGCACGGCATTTACTTTCTTCTTTTGGGTTGATTCTGACATTAAACCTTAGTCTTCTAACGATGATTACAGCCCCTGAATTGAGTAGGGCAAAAATAAATCAACAAAACTGATTTTGTTCCACCAGAGCACAATTTATGGCTATCATGGTAGCGAATGAAAATCGTGTTTCACAATAGGTTTTTACACTAGGACGATTCTATAACGATTTATCGTGTATGCAATAACAAATTATTTTAACAAATCAAATCAGATGACGTCATAATCATGGACAAACGATAAAATCGTTGCTACTACGACGATTTTAATGTTTTTCCATGATTATGACGTCATCTGATCTGATTTGTCAAAATATGTTGTTATCGCATTACTGAAAAATCGTTATCGAATCGTTCTAATGTAAAAACCTCTCTTATTTCTTTTATTTTTTATATGAACTATTGCTTTTTAGCTTTTTTTTTTTATCGTTATCGTTATCGTTGAAGTATAAACTTACTCTAATTTTGATAACCCTAATCTAAATTTAGCAGCGAAACAGTAGTGTATGCAGCCTATTCCACGGTGGTGCTAAATCGTGACCATCCTCGCCCATGGTTTGGGTGGTGGTAGAACAAAGTAAGCCTACTCTCCACTGGAGAGACTCAAAACCGGAGGTCCCTTGTAGGCCTACAAGCTGGCTCGTTCTTTAAAGAGCAACCCAGTGCATCTTCCGAGAAGTGGAAGGTAATATTTTTTTTACTATCAGATCATCACCATAATTATCATAATCATCATTATGATTATTAATATCAGCATCATCATCAAACTATTTATTATGGTTGTTACTATTTATTATTATTATTATTATAATTGTTACTATTTATTATTATTATTATCATCATCATCATCATCATCATCATCATCATTATTATTATTATTATTATTATTATTATTATTATTATTATTATTATTATTATTATTATTATTATTATTGTTGTTGTTGTTATCATCGTTATTGTACGACAGTCGCACGACGAATCCAACTCCGCTCCCTGTGAGCGATAGACGACGCGACGCCGTCTGCTGATTGTCGTCAATAAAAAACGAGCCGTTGCGCGCGCGTTGTCGCGTAGCATTCTTTATAGAATCGCGTCGGCCGACGACCGTCGCCGTGCGCACTGAGTGCAGAGCTTTAGTGGCCAGGCTCGTACGCTCTGCTGCATTGCCTAACCTACCGTTGACGTTAGCTTTTTTGTTATGTCTAGTTAATTCCTTTTATCCCGATCATTTATCATTGGACTTTTGTTTACATCTTTATTTGACATTTGATAATTATATATTTGCATATAATAACGGGAATGTTATCTGGCCCGGATACTACCTGGCCTGGATTCAGATATTTATCATTGATTCGTTAATATCGTATTAAATAAGTAAATGAATCATACATCGTAGTTTGATAATTATTTCATATTCAAAAATCACATCAACATTAGTTGCCACAAACAGGCTATAAAATATCTTTCATCGTTTATTCGTTTACTCTACAATACCATAAGCTTATTTTGCTTTATTTTAATAGTTGTTGACCATTCCTTTCATACGTTTTCAGCCTAATGTCATTGTCGTAGTCGTCTATTATTTAATATACGAAATTCTGAGTAAATATGTTTTCTTGAATGAGTAATCTTTCAAAAGGTACTTTTATCAAAATGGAAAAATGTTGCCTTATTTATGAAGCTAAATGAAAAGGATAGTGTGAATATTCTATCAAAAATGTACTTTGCAAAACAATGCCATTAACAGATAGGCCTATCTACTCTATTCCCTCGACAGCTTTTCTCCATTTCACTGTAAATTTGGTGCAAAAAAAGTAACAGAAGTTGTTTGTTTATTCATAAGGATGCTATACGCTGTGTCATTTGTAGATGAATTACTAGTGTTCAACGACAATTTTACTAAGTGGTGTCGGATTTCACGGATTGTGGATATTACAGAACGGCGCAAACCCAATTAGACTCGTCGGTACGCATTGTAAAAGCGCTTAATAATCAATTGAGGTTCGCTGAAGCGTAGAATAGTCTTCGCAACAAAAAGAAGATTTTGAAAGAAAAATATTATACCAGAGAGTTAAGTCAAAATCATAGAGAAAGAAAATGAATTATGATACACACTGACTCGTGCGTGTTTTAC